GCGCGATAGAACGGAACGGTGGTCGCCGTATGGTTCTCTTCAGAGATTTTGTCATTTCTAAACGATTCGGACATCTCAATCGTCTAAAGGGCTGGAATTAAGATTCGGTAAGGCCCGAGGTTGCCAGCTCCTCACGGATGGGCAAACCATCCGCTCTTTCTATCCCTGTCTCCTCCTTCTGCTCTCCACACCGATAAACCGCTCTTCCGGCGAGTGTGACGGCCGCCAAAACACCGAAGGCCAACACACAAGACAGTTTCTCGAACGCCTCCTCACTTTTATTGCCTCCTCGTCCGCCGCCATTCCGCCCATGATTTCCCGTGATTCTCACCTTAAAACCCAATTTTTGTTCTCATCTCCCCAACTTCCCAGCGGTCTGAATCGATCACATCCATTTCATCAACAGTAGCCGCTTGGCATTATTCTACGTACACCGCTCCCCAGCGTACAATTCGCTTGCACATCTCAATGCATAACAAATCCTGTCAAGCGTAGCAATTCCACTTCCGGCCATACCCAAGCCTCCCCTTGTTCGCAAGTCGACCTTTCATTTCTCAGCACCCAGAAAATCATTCATTTCCGCTTCTGCTCCTGCTAGAGCATCGCAGGCATGACAGCGGCTAAGCCTAGCCATAGGCTGCGGTATCGATACAGCGCAATCGCTTCTCCTCCCGAGCTGCAGAGCCCCTAAGCACTCAACAAGGCGCTTGGGAAGCTGGCATACGCATCTGACATGGCTCTTTAGGGTCTCGGAACTCCCCAATCGTGCGTTACCTGAATATAAGCTCTAAAGGTTTCCGTCTACACTCGGCCTAGAGGTGTGAAGCCCGCGATCCGGTATCCCCATTGGCGAGCTATCGATGGACAATTCAATGACCCCGGGTAAGCGTTTATTGCCTACTTTGGTACACAACCGAGGAAACCGAGCGGAGCTCAACTGAAGCGTAGATTCCGGGTCACTCGCCTGCGACAGAGTGCTGGTATATGGAGACTTTACACAAGGCCGGTACGTTCCAATAACATCGGTTACTTACTCCTCGTCCGAATTACATGAACGGGCGAACGGTAGTTGTAGCCTAAATCTCATCGAGTAGCGCTGATTGGATTGAAAACAGAGAAGCTGTATCTGTTCTGTAAGCAATTGTGATTCTGGTCTGATCCGTTCTGTTTCTGTTTCTAATTTCTGATTTCTGTTTTCGTACCATTCTGTTCTGATATGATCTGAAATTCTGATTTCTGATTTCTGTATGATTCTGACTCTGTTGATTTATTCTGTTCTGATTTGTATTCTGAGGTGATCTGATCTGTACGACTCTGATTCTGATTTGATATCTGTCCGTATAAGTTCTGATTTTCGATTCTGTTCTGATTCGTGATTCGATTCTGTTCCGATTTCTGATCTGATTTCTGTCTAATGAGTGTGGTTTTGGATTCTGAGAGTTTAGATTGGTGGTTTGTTGCTTTGCTGAGATGTTGAGCTCACCCTTGTTTTCTGGTGGTTTTTAGGTTCTGGGAAAGGGAAGGAATACCAGGACTAGAGTTCAGAGTCTGATCAGTATAGGTATTGTTTTACTTTTGATTTTTGTACGGTCATGGCTTTTCTTCTGTGTTTATTCTGCTAGCCATGTACCGTATTTGTAGATGATTGTTTTGAGGAAAAGAAAGAAAATATAGATGTTTTGTTCCGCTGCATTTGGTGACTTATAGTAGCTCTGTTGTTCTGTGTTTGTGTGTCTGTTGAGTTAATTATTTTGGAAGATTCAGTTCAGAACCAAATTCCAAAGCCAGATCCTGGATAAGAAGGTTCTGTCGCGATCCGGCTTGGGCGGGATCCGTCCCCGTCGGGTCGGGTCGTGACAATATGGTTAGCCGGTTGAATGGTAGAAACGGGAGTTAGAAGGAACGGAGATAGTTCTTGCTGAGAAGCATTATTGGTTAGATCAGTCATAGCAAAAGGAAAATAGTGTTCATCAAAAATAACATTACGAGATATTGTAATTTTGTTAGTGTTTAAATCTAAACACTTGTATCCCTTAGATTTGAGCGAGTAGCCTATGAACACACAAAGGTTGGCTTTTGGTTGAAGTTTGTTGCGAAGTTGAGCCGGAATGTGAGGAAAGCAGGCGCAGCCAAAAACCCGAAAATCTTTGTAGTCCGGTGTCCTGTGAAAGAAGAGTTCGATAGGTGAGATTTGGTTAGTATTAGGTGAAGGCATACAGTTTATAAGGTATGAAGCAGTGAGCATAGTATCAGGCCAGTAGAGGAGCGGAACATGAGCCGTATTCAACAGGGCCCGAGTAGTTTCAACGATATGTCGGTGTTTTCTTTCGGCGACGCCATTTTGTTCAGACGTATATGGGCAAGAAGTTTGATGCGATATTCCGTGTTGATTGAGAAGTTGCAAGAAAGCCGAGCTAGAGTATTCGCCACCGCCATCGGTGCGAATACATTTGATTCTTTGAGAGGTAGCGTTTTCAATGTGTCGAATAAAATCGGTAAAAATATGTGTTACTTCAGATTTACGTCGCATTGGATAAAACCACGTAAATCTGGAATAATCATCCACAAAGATAACATAGTACAAATAACCAGAGTTAGAAGCAACGGGAGCCGGCCCCCAAACATCAGAATGAATGAGAGCAAGTATAGAAGATTGTCTATTTGCAGTATGATCAAAACCAAGCCTATGAGTCTTGGATTTATTACAGGGATGACAATTATAAGTGTTGGTGTCAATTTTCAAATGTTTATTACAAGAAGAAATAGAAGTAAGTGTCCTTTGATTGGGATGACCCAATCTTTGATGCCACAGAACCGAAATCGGGAGAGAGGTGTGAAGAGCCGTAGGTCGTCCAGAGCCTGCCGGAGCTCGTAACGGGTAGAGTCCGTCACGGCAGGGTCCCCGAAGGAGTTCTTGATTGGTCTGCATATCCTTAAAAACAAAGCCACTAGGATCAAATGTTATGGAAATATTATTATCCTTAGTTAGTTGAGAAATGGATAGCAAATTATAGTGAAGTTCGGGTGTATGAAGAATATGAGATAAGTTGAACTTACGAGAGGGAGTCGGTAGCAAACCTCGACCAGAGTTTGCAATATTAACCGAACTCCCGTCACCAATAACTATGCCATCGGAACCCTGATAAGGAGCGGAGATGGACAAATTGTCAAGAGATCGAGTCATGTGCGCGGAAGCTCCTGAATCTAGGTACCAATCCGTATGAGATTGATTGGAATCGGCAAGCAGAGCTTTGGCTGGTTGTTTGGTCGATCTTGGAACATATTGGAGGTTAGATCGGTGCCAGCAATCCGTCGCCGTGTGACCTTTCTTGAGACAAATCTGACATTGTATGACAGCCGCTGATGGAGGTTCAGATGTTGGATTTGAGTTAACTGGTGGACGTGTTCTTGAACGCCGACCACGACCTCTGTTGACGAACAGAGCGTGAGGTTGATCCGTCATGGAGGCGAAACGGACATTGTCCGCGGCAATGTGAATTTCCTCGCTTATTAGCAGGGAATATAGTTGATCAAGACTGAGCGGGTTCGTCATCGTGCGAATGTAAGTCTTGAAAGACTGGTACGCCGGAGGTAGCCCGTTGATGATATGAATAATGATTTCTTCGGGATCAAGTTGAGCACCCGCTGCCGCAATGTGATCTACAAGAACTTTAACCTCATTCAAGTATTGCATCATGGTGGAATTCTTGAGAGAAACATGATAGAGTTCGTTCTTGAGTTGGATCACTTTAGAGCGGTTTGTGGCTTGAAATCTAGTTTCAAGTGTCTGCCAGATTTCGGAGGTAGATTCGAGATGTAAAACATAAGGAAGAACAGCTGCTGAGATCGTTGAACATATAGCCACCGATAAATTTTGATCGATAAGAAGCCATTGCTCATGTTCCGGATTCTTAGAGGTTGTGTCGTCCTGAGTGGTGATGAAAGCTTCAGGAATCGGAATAGAGCTGTCAAGAAATGTAGAGAATCCATTTGCCCGGCAAATCTTCATGATCTGAGACCGCCAGAGGTGGTAATTGTCCGCCGAGAGAGGACTTTGAACAATATTTTTAAGATTGGAAAGAACAAACTTAAGAGAGGAGGAGATGGCCGGAGTTGAGGATGACAGAGTCGTCATGTCGCCGGCAGTCTGGGAAGTAGAAGAAGATGCCATTGTTTTCCCCGGGATCAGAGAGCCCCGTCTGATACCATGTAGAAGTTCAAGATATTATTTCTTGAACTGTAACAGAGAATGGAAAAGAAATACGAGAAGAGAGAATAGAGAATAAACCGAATTTCAGAAACAGAAATATATTTTCATTGTTGCTTAACACGGTACAAGTGTCTATTTATAGATTTACAGAGGAGAGTTGTATATATGGCAATACAGAAATACAAATAGTTATTTTAATCCTGTTGCTCTAATAGAAACGGGGTAGAGGTAGGGTTTTTTGGAAACTAAAAGATACTTCCAGTTCAAGGTGCTCGGATGTTTTGAAGTATCAAGACATTTAAATGTGGCAGAGTGGTTCTAGTTGTTAGGGTTAGGGTTGAATGTGGAGGAAATGATAGGGCAGTCTTGATCAGAAAACACAACGAGAGCGAAAAATGCAAAGGTAACCGTGGAGAGTTTCGACGAAGCCGGAGAAGGGGCGAAACAAGGCGGCCAAGCAAGAAAAAAGTTAGGAACACCCCTAGCTGCCACCACACAATAAGCAAGTAATTTTTTTCCATAGACTAGCCAAAGTTGTTCATATAACCAACTTCTCAACTATAATTTGGTTCACCCCATCTAGAAGAATATATGTCTAACAACTCTAATATTTTTATAATCATGACTGAATTGAAAGAAAGTTCAGCAAATTCCCATCTCTCATTGTCATTAAAGGCAACTTCACCTTCTGTTTGCCATTATTGCTTTGATATGAACGATTTCAAATGGAAAGGTTAAGCACAAGAACTTCAACTCACGTGGGTTTCTCATTCCTCCAAATAGCCGTCAAAATAATTTCTTTAATCGATTCAAAAGTCAAAACCCTGCTAATGGCGATCCTCCTAATCCCAAAATTTAAAAATGTTATCGCCTAACTACTATCTATCTCTCTTCTGCATAAATTACTCCCTCTCTCTACTTCTTCTCTGCTCAGTGATGAAGCCAGCCATGGAGAAGAAGCAGAGTCTTTGCGGCTTTCTTTCACTTCTCATCATCCACTTAGCAATCAAAACTTCAGCTGCTGGGACTCCGACGCTTCAGCAGCTCAATCGAGGCTTCAGAGCGAGCTTTGATCAATCAGCTGGTTCGTTTCAGCCTCTGCTTTCCGATCCAACCGGCATTTTCTCCTTCGGCTTTCTGCAAATTAACTCCTCCAACCTCGACCTCGCCGTCATCCACCTCCCGTCAAACCAGCCAGTCTGGCGCGCTATCCCGGGACGGCCGGCTCAACGGTCCGGCTCAGCCTTTCTCTCCTTTAATGGCAGCCTCCTCTTCTCCGACCAAAACTCAGGGGTTCTATGGTCTACCCCGGCGACCGCCGGCGACCGCGTCGTCCTCCTCAACTCCTCCAATCTCCAGATAATAAAAGCTGCAGGACCAATAGATGTTCTCTGGCAAAGCTTCGATTTTCCTTCTGACACAATCGTCCAAGATCAGAACTTTACATCTAACGCTTCTCTGTTTTCCACCAATCAGCGCTACTCGATGAGATTAGGCTCCAACTACCTCGCCCTGTTCATGGAATTCGGACGAGGAGTTGAAGAACCTATGTATTGGAAGCGAACGGCCTTGGAAGCGAAGAACCAGATCGTCGCAGGCGAGGGACCGATCTACGCTCAGTTGAGCCCGCTCGGTTTCCTCGGTTTGTACCAAAAGGAAAACGCACCGGTGGATGAATTGTCCTTCGATAGCTTCGCAAGGGGAATTACCGGATTCCGGCGGCTCACCCTGGAGGCTGACGGAAACTTTAGAGCATATTACTGGAACGGCACGATCTGGGTTTCGGATTACAAGGCCATGCCAGAGCTATGCGAGCTTCCAAGCGCCTGTGGTGCTTATGGGCTCTGCAGCGCGGAGGAGAAGCGATGCGGCTGTATCGATAACCGCAGCCATGGGTGCTTAGCGGCGGATGCCGGCGATCTCTGCGGGAGCGGAAATGATGATTTCTGGGTGCTGAGAAGGAAAGGTGTCGACTTGGCGAACAAGGAGGTGCTTGGGTTCGTAAAGGTGGAATCTTTGAAGGAGTGTGAGAGATTGTGCAAGCGGAATTGTAGCTGCTGGGGAGCGGTGTACAATAATGCAACCGGCTACTGTTATGAAATGGATTATCCGATTCAGACGCTGTTGGAAGTTGGAGATGAGAACAAAATTGGGTTTTTTAAGGTGAGAATCACGGGAAATCATGGCGGAAGGGGCGGCGGCGGAGGAGGAGATAAAGTGAGGAAGGCGGCGGAGGCGCTGGTGGTGGTCGGTGTTTTGGCGGCCGTCACACTCGCCGGAGTAGCGGTTTATCGGCTGTGGAGAGCGAGGAGGAAGACAGGAGAAAGAGCGGATGGTTCCATGGTGGAGGAGCTGGCACCTGGGCCTTACCGGAATCTTAATTCCAGCTCCTTTAGATCGATCGAGATGTCCGAATCGTTTAGGAAATGACAAAATCTCTAGAGAGAACCATACGGGCGAACCGTTTCCGTCTATCGCGGCTGGGAAGGCGGCGAAAAAGAGAAAATATGCAAGCGAGGGGGTGGGGTTCGTTCTCCGATCATGGCACGACTATCAGCTTCGTCACCGGCGAGCAGCTTCGCTGTTTCTGATCACATGCACAACTCTGTTCGCCTTACAAGCTTAGCTCATTTCTTTTTCAGTTTTTTGTTTTTTTTTTTTCTTTTTTTTTAATGTTTATTTTCAAGCTTTAGTTTAATTCTCGAAGATTTTTGGATGGTCAGGTTTGGGAGAGATTATTATGCGCGGAGTCTGTATATAGAGAACTGTTCCATTTTGTGATTGTGAACAATAAAAACGCAGTAAAAATGCCGATGTGAACAGTAAAAGCGCATTGGTTAATTGTAACTATCTTTTTTACTGTTCACAATCACAAAATCGAATGGTTCTCTGTATTTGGCTCCGCATGTAATAATCTCTTCGAATTTGGATTGTTAAGTGTAGAAGCTTTTTGTATATATTAAAAAAAAAAGAACTTGCTTGAATTGCATTAAGGATTAATTTTATTTCTTACAAATTACAATTTTGAAGATTTACAATTATATCATAAAATTTTAATGTAGTTACATATTATTATAACCATCTAAATCATTTAAAAAATATTATTAATATTAAATTATTTAAGTAAAATATATCTTTTTATGTAAATACTTTTATGTTATTTAACTGTTATATTAATATATAAGCAAATATAAAGAACTTACCAACATTATAGTTCCCCATTATCTTCTAGCTGTTCAGTGTGGGATTTTCGATTATTTTATAATAGTCTTTGTTGCGTCCGGGAGTATTCGCGGAGGTAAAGAATTATAAAGTTTATCGTCTTAGCGTTGTACGAAAATCCGGCGCGCAATCAGGTAAGAGAGAGAGTCTAGCATTTATGAGACACCAAGATTTTTATGTGGAAAACCTCTAAAAATGGGGAAAAACCACAGGGCCTAGCCCAATTTGACTGAATCCACTAGTATTATAGTCGATTACAAGTGAGGCCCTTCCTTTGAGGAAGGCACAGGTTTGATGTACATTATATGAAGTACATTACATGTTGGGAATACAAAGAGTCGCTGTTGATGTATTCGCTTTGTTGGAAGGACTGTAGTCGGCGGGCGACGTAAGTCAGGAGAACCGTAGTCGGCTGGCGACGGAGGTTGAAGGATTGTATCTGACGATGAAGGTCAGAAGGACGACGTCAGGGAGAAGTCTAACAATGGGAAGAAATTCATCTTCGAATAAACGTCCGGCGAAAGTCCGATAACCGGTAGAAGTCCGGTGTCGGGTAGAAACTTGGTGAAGAATGAAGGTCCGGCGTCGGGTAGAAGTCCGACGTCTGTTGGTGAACGAGGAGAACTCCATCATCACTTGGGCAGAGTTTCGGCATCACGTGGAAGTTGGGCAGAATTCTGGCGTTCTCCCGAATATCCCGCAGAATTCCGGAGTGTTCACCTTGGCCATTACAATGCTGGAGTTCAACTCTGGCGGTGGTCGAGGAGGAGCTGATTCTCCTTCCCCTTATCTTCTTCTTCTTTTCTTCTTCTTGCTTTGGTCCCCCCTCATGAGGAATGAGGACTCTATTTATAGTTTTCTAGAGTGGCATGACTTGTAAATAGGTGTGAGATCAGGGGCAAATAGGGAGTGGTCGAATGGACGGTTGATGTTGAATCCGTGCACAGTTCGTTGGACATTTGAAGGCCTTCGTGATGCCGAAATTAGACAATCTTGGGCTCGTTGGATTTGTCCCGTCGAGCCGCTCGATTCGAGTATAAGATCGTTAAAATCGGAGACCGTTTGGTTACTCAAATTATGGTATGAGCTTTCCAACAGCACTTCAGGCACTTGATTTGGGCTCACTTGAACTCGGATTGAATTGAATTTGGTGGCGTTGGGTTCGTATTTTCGAGACGCTCAGTTTGATTGTAAGCTTGCTGAAATCAGAGTTCGGGTGCTCCCGGATTTAATTTTGAAATCGGGTCCGGGTCGGGTTTTCGTGTCGTGTCAAATATTAACACCCCTACAAATTTTCATAGCAAAAACTACTTTAGAAAACAATAAGAAAACTGTCACAAACGGAGCCTTAGGCTTCATTTGGGATGGCTTTTTTGTTGATTTTTAAAATAGCTTTTTAGTACAAAAAATAAAATTTTGTACTCTAAGTTTGTGGAGATTCCGTAGTCTCTAATTGAATTATTAATTTACATAGTCTCTTATTAGTTCATTTATTAGGAGATTCCATTGTGGCATTCTTTAAAAAATAATAATTGATTTACTAATTTAATATGTAAAATTCAACAATTTTATTAGAGAGGAATCAGGGAGCTTACTTTTGAAGTTATTAAGTTTATTATTCCTTAAAAAATATATTTTTATTAAGAAATATAACATTATTGAGTTTGGTCTTAAAATATAGTATTGTAGAAATAACTAATAAGGGTGTTTATTGTGAAATTACACATTGGGGGCAGCCAAATTCGGCCTATTCAAGCACATCCATTTGATATGTGAAGGTCAAATAAGCGCAAAAACAAGGAATAGTATGAGAAATTATTCTGTGCGGAGTCCAAACAGAAAAAATCATCTGGACATACGTGTATACACATACTGTACACAATGTGTAGACTATTTATTCAATGTGTGTATACTCATAGTCTGAATGATTTTTCTCGTTTGAACTCTGCACAGAATAATTTCTCGAATAGTAGAGGCACTGTATTTTTATGTTGCTCTATTTTTGAACTCTTTGTTTTCTCTTTGCGGAGCATTATGTTAACATTTATAGTATTGATTTAAAATATAATTTTATGGTATTAGAAATACCTAAAACCTCCTATTTTTTATCATATTTTGAAAACATTCAATTTGCTTACTTTAAAATTCTAATTTTTTTGCCTCTTCTTATCTTGCAAAATCTTGTCGCATCTTGCCTCATTGGGGCAACCCATACATGAATTAAGGGTATGCACTAGTCAAGTCGAATCTATCCCAAGTAAGAATTGCATCGAGTTTGGCTCGCCAACTCATTGCCCTACAATAACTTAAGCTCAAGCTCATATAGTAAGCTTGAGCACATCTTGTTCGTATCTTCCCAAGCTCGAGCTCTACTTGCGAGCTCAAGATCATCGAAGAAGTCAATGACAGGTCAAGTGGTAGCAAGAAAGTTGCAGCTAGAGTTTGTTATAGAAGTCATCAATGGATCGAACGGCTGGAGTTCATTATAGATGGCATCGTTGGGTCCAACATTGATGAAGAAATTACAGTTGAGGTTCTTTGAAGAAGGCATCGATGGTTCTAGAAGCCAGGAAGTCACCACGAGACTTTGCTATGTAAAGCTTCGATCAACTTGAACTTGAGCTCGAGCTCATGGCTTGATACTCAACACGTGAGCAACTTAGAAGTCAAATTCGAGCCAACTCGGCTCACTTACACTCTTATGCATGATCTACCTTATCAAATATATATTATTACAAAACATACCAAGAAACAAACATGCATATAGATTAAGCACAAGCAATCTAAATCATCATTTAATAATAAATAAATAATTATCATGAAGGAGATTAATGTTTAATTAGCACACTTGGTGTTGTCACACCTAATAAAAATATGATTAAGGAAAATTAATTAAACTAAAAAATTATGTACTAAAAAACTGCTTCAAAAATCAATAAGAAAATCATCCTAAACGAAACCTAAAATGAATGCCTATCTTTCGACGAATCATTAGATTGGCAAAAGATTTTTTAAAGACAAAAAAATAAATTTTATTCTCTAATATATAAATTCAATATAAATAATATTTAAATTCAATAAATTAATAATAAATTTAATTTTTTTCTACAAATCTGTCTGGCAAATGATGCTGTAACAAAATTGGCATCACACCAAGGTCAAAGATTACCCAACCCATGTCAATGTGATCAAGTGGAGAAGCAGCTGTCTTGTGAGTGGATATTAAAATTATTTTCTTTGAAATTCAAATTTTATTTCATTAGTTTTTTAAGTTTAACGTTTTGTTTGGGACGACTTTCTTACTGCTTCTTAAAGCGGTTTTTTAGTTCAAAATTTAGTATAAAATTTATTTTGTACTAAGAAATTGTTTTAAGAAACAGTAAGAAAGTCATCCCAAACGAAGCCTAAATTAACTTGAAATTAAAACTAATATAATTATCGTGTAACCTAATTAAAATTTTTGTACTAGAAAGCGGCTTTAAGAAGCAGTAAGAAAGTCGTCCCAAACGAAGCCTAAGTCTATAACCTAACGAAATCGTTGTTTGGTAGTGATTAGTGATATGGGTTTGGTTGACGAAAGATCACAACAAGAAAACGGGAGCGTGTATAGGTGGTCCTCTGACACGCTGCGAGTGCCGAAAATGGGACTTGAGTTTTTTCAAGCTTGCAAGCATTATGCCTTCACATAAGCATGACGACTATGGCGATGAGGTACAAGGCATGAGAGATCAAACACACAAAATACTCACTCTTTTTTTTTTTGGAATTTTTATTATTATAATAGATATATAGAGAGAAATGAACTAGAGAAAGATTGGTGAGGGTTCGGCTCAGACTTGGAAAGTTGTGTCTCGTCCAGTTTGTGTGAAATCATGAAGGCTTAAGTTTCGTTTGGGATGACTTTTTTATTATTTCTTAAAACAGTTTTTTAGTTTAAAAATTTAAATTTTTATAGTAGAAAGATGCTTTAAGAAGCAATAAGAAAGCCGTCCCAAACGAAGCCTTAGTGGGAGACAAGTGGGCTATGTCAACGTATAGGTGGAGGATACTGCCATACCTAAAAGAGGAATTTGATATTCATCAGCGTAGTCTGTTTGGTGATTGGAGCTTATTTGTGTAATTTTTGCTAGAGTCGCAATCACTAACACATTATTGCTCGATCAAGTTGCATACAAATAGCTTCTCTTCAGTAAATTCGATGTCATGAATGCATTGATGCGATCCATTTTGTAATTGGACACGGTTTGATTTATTTCATCATGATCTAGACATTCCGATCTTCATTTTGAATGATATCTTGCTTACTAATAATAATTGGTTAGCATCTCATTTTCTTGCATTGACCATGCCACATATATGGAGGTTAACACTTTTAAGAATTACATAACACAAACTTAATTGTTATATGCTTGTTTGTATCTCACCATCTCTGCATAGCGATGGACGTACCCTGAACAAGCATGGACATAAGCTTGTTTGTATATAGCCATCTTTGCATAGCGATGCACGTGTTCTCCAAGGGCACCCTCGATGCGAGCATGTTGCTATAACTCTAGACTTATTGCTAGCATTTATCATCACCCCAAATTTATAAGTAATTGCGGTAGATCATAGGAATTGTTTTATCCTACTAACATCATGAAAATAAGCACCAATTTCTAATATTTTATTATCATTGATTGGTTGCATAAGCTGATTACTGCTTAAGCTTTCAAAGTCAATATTGTTTGAAGAAACATTAATAGCTCTGTCGATGTTAGGACAATGCTCTAAACCTTCAAAGTTCATATCAGGCTATGTATCCTCTTGTAATGTAACAACAATTTCAACCTGGTAACTATCATTACATTGTCATATCATTTGCATCACCTCATTATCACTTGAAATTGTCTTATAAACTTTAGGAGAAGTAGAACTAATATGGTAGCTTAATTTAAACTCATGAACAATTAGCCATATGGACAAATCTTTTCAGCCTTCTCTCTAAGGATAAAAATATTAAGCAAATAATACTCTAATTTTATAGCTTTATATTTTTCCCCTTCATATCTTCTTCTTTCTTCACATTTAACTTTAACTTCACTCCAATATCCCCTAAATTTTAAATGTAACCTAAATATATTCACCATCATTCACCATAACTATCACTTAAAATAAAAAATCTGCAAACACAATGACAGAAAACAAAAATTATATGCATATCTCATGGTAAGAAAAAAAAATGGGCATCACTCAAAACTCACGACAACAAACGAAAAAATCCATCCTCATGCATTTCACTTCAAAATATCCTAATTGATTATGATATTAATATATTAGACATGTCTATTCACTTATTTAAAAAATAATAATATAAATGATCATAATATTATAGCCCAAATTTAATCAAGATAAGTTTTATTAATATTTTATTTATTAAAAATGAATACACTATACCAACAAAATCAATCAAAATTCATAATATAATTATCTTAAAACAAATTTGTATAGATCTTCCACCCTCTCATCCTCTATTTAAACATAGGTCAACATCAAGAGATTAGTGAACATTTATTTCAATTTTGTCACCTCAAAGTGCCCCTATGTCAATCTCAATGCTCTATAATTCCTTCAAAAGATTACAAATTAATTGCATAATAAAAAGGAGTAAAAAAAACATGGCAAGGAATAATTTTAGATAGCAAATATGTGATCCAATATTTCTATTTATTATATCATAGTATATATGGAGGTAGGGACATAAATTATTACATAATCATTTTTCACTTATATACATATCATAAATATCAAGTTAATATAATACAAATTTTGATGTAATATCAACCAAAATTAAGCTATGCCAATCACTATTTAGGAGTGTAAACAAGATAAGTTGAGTTTAGTCAAATTCTTAATGGAGCCAAGATCAAATAATTTATACAAAGCTCGAACTCAACTCCAACTCATTTGCTATGCTCGAGCTCAACTAGAGCAAAAAAACACGAGGTTCAAGCTTAATTTAATTGCTCGACAGCTGACAACAATAGCAACATGAAGCCTTTATCTCAATACATGAATCTTTTTACTCCGATGTGCCCAACTAAGAGTCAAATTCTCATTTGAATCTAATAAAAAGTTATTTTAATATTTCCTAACCAAATCTTTTTAAATCTTCCTCTAATTTTAACAGGTCAAATTTAATACATCTACTCTTCTAATCAGATCATCAGAAGATCAACATTTGATGCGACCAAATCATCTAAGATGGCCCTCTCTAATCTTTATCATTCACAAAAACTACTCCGACCTATTCGCGTATATGATCTTTTTACATTCCATCTCTAAGAGTAAAGCCACTCATCCACTAGAGCATCCTCATCTCTACAACACTTAACATAATTATATACTTCTGTTTTAATGGCCAACATTCTACACCATACAGCATAAGTTGAGATATATTAGATAAAAAAAACTCAAGATTAGCTCATTTTATATATATTGATTCATTAATAAAGAATAATCAAGGCAACTCAACAAGCTAACAGCTTTACAAAGCTGGGTCGAGCTCAAGCTTGTACAATATATAAACTAGAATTTAACCTCAAATCCAAATTCATAGCTCAATAAACTCAACTCATGAAAAAATCAAGCTGGTTCATGAGCCAGCTTGGCTCACTTACATTCCTATCACTATTATCAATAGAACATAAAATGTCCAGCATTAGTGATTTTGATTATGATACTTTTCTCCATTCTACATTTTCTTAGTGATTAAGACTTTGTTTGAGACATCTTTTTATTGTTTCTTAAAGCAATTTTCTAGTTTAAAAAATTAATTTTTTTGTGCTAGAAAGTTGCTTGAAGCAGTAAGAAAGCAATCCCAAACGAAGCCTAAGATACTTCAAATTTGTTTGGTTTATAGTGGCAATATTTTTAACTAGCATGTTAACTGACAGTGAAAATGAACTAATGTGAACGCCTAACAAATCTGAAATATCATTTGATAAATTACAATTTAAAGCTATCAATCAAAAGGAGATCTAATATTAAGTTAACAAGCCATATGACCCATAATTTAATTGGTATAACTAAAGAGAAAATTGCAGCACTATATTTTGTAGACAGGCGTGATACCAAGTAGATGGAAGCATTTCCTCATTACAACGGCTGTTGCCTCGCACAATAAGAGTCTGCTAGTTTCTTCCGCAGATCCAACAACCTGCTCAAACAAAAAAAAAAGACGAAACAATTCTCTTGTGTATCTGGAAGCTGGAAATGCAAGTGAAAGGAATGGAAAAGGAGTTGAAACTATTATGCACAGATCAGTGACACGGGTATGACACGATACGGACATGGGACACATCAATTATTAAAAATATAGGACACGGGACGGACACGGGTTGGATATGGTATTATAGTTTTTTTATATTTTTAAAATAGTTTATAAAAATTAAATAAGTATAATTTTAAAAATAATAAGTAATTTAACTAGAATTTGTGCTCAGAATGATTAATATTAGGATATCGAGAGTCAGGCATTGATACCGCTTATCAGACATTGAGAGAAGAGATGAAAATATCTTCACTGCCAAAGAGAAATGAAAATGAGAATATTCGATAGAATGAGATATTGAGTGCGGGCGATTGATTTGATGTTGTGAATAGGAAATAAGAAATTTAGTTTTATATTTTAAATAAAAAAATTAAATATAAGAAATTATATTTTTAAAAATATAAAATATTTAAGATACCAATTTGGATTTAAATTTTTTTAATCGGACACGTTTTCAGCATGTCTGACACGTGTCGGAGGAGTGTCGGATGTATGTTGTGTCGGACATTGCAAGCCTCTTTGAGAAGAAGTGTTGGTGCATCATAGAGTTGAAAACACCAACTCAAAGCCTGCAGATTCATAAATAGCCAGAATATTGCCAGATTTTACATTAAATTTTCTTCATTTTTTTATCCTTCTAAACAGACAAGTAAATGAAGGTCATATCTTCCATCTTTCTAAACAGACTAGAAAACCTAAATGGAGATCATATTTCTTATATTATGGATCTCACCCACAGATCAAAATGTTTCAATTTTGTTAAGTTTTACAGGATCCAAATTTATTAGTTCGAAATTAGCCGAATTCTACTAAGGCCTGCTAGGCAATCAGAGCTAGAGAGATTGCAAAGAAGACCAAATTTATTTCCCAAAGTTTTCTCCCAAAAGTCTCACCCAAATATCATGTGAGGTGGAAAGAACAGAGTAGGCCTAAGAAAACCCCTTGCACTCCACGAGGCAAGTATGGAAGGCTTTAGGGAGAAAAACTTTGCATGGAGTTGCAGAACTAAATCAACGAACTAAGGTTTGATAATGGCAAAACAATGCACAAAGCTGCTAAATACCAAAATTTGATTATGGAAAATTAGATGGCCCACAAAACAAGGCAAATTAGAAAGAAGTACCTGGCAGCTAGTGTAAAATCTTGTGAATATTTCAGACAGATTGTAGAGATACTCGCACAAAACATTTGGAAGAAGATTAGTGCAAGCCTCTTCAACTACCTGAAAATCATATATGGTAATAATCATGAACATATTTGTACTTGGTAGAGATAGGAGGAACGTGAATAAAATACAATACCAAACAAAAAGAAAATTTTCAAACCAGAAACATCATAAATGGATTAGATCAATATGATCAAATATTAATCTGCATTAGTGCTAAAAAGAGGAACTTATATAGTAAACTTCTGGTTAAGAGAATAGTCAGCGTGTAAATACAGGATAAAGGCGTATGGGCATGCAAGATACAACATACGCAGAAAGGAGCGGAGACAAATGCGTACACGAGATTAATAGCTGACAAAGAGAGAATGAAACCTATCGATGGCTGCAATGATTTTTTATTTATAATCTTAAAATTCCTGTAATCCAATGACAAAAAGTCAACCAGCAATGCTTACAATGTCTGGGCCCGCACAACTACTAGCGGATTGATTATTTTACGATTTATGCTTTAGAGAAAGTTTTCAAGATACAGGTGAAAGTGATCTGATCCGCCTCCCGGTCGCAGAGGGAGGGACGGCACCCGCGGGCGAGCGAAAGCCGCGGGGGGAATGCCGCGCCAGTCGGCCAGCCGAAGGGGAGCGCGGGACGCGACGGAGCGGCGGGACGGTTCGGCCTTGAGCGGAACCGGTCCAATCCTGGACCGGTTTGGCTCGGGTCTGCCCTGAGCTGGGCGGTTCATTTTGGGCAGCCCACTAGTGGGTTTTGTTGGTCTTTTGGCTTGCTTTAAGTAAGGAATAGAGTGAGATTTCTAGGGTTATGCAAGATTTGAGTTTTCTCTTAGCCTCCTTAGTTTCTTTCTCTTATTTTTCTAGGGTTTGTTGTGGGAGACCTTGTCCTTCTCGAAGTGGACAAATTGTATCTTGTTTCTCTTGGATTTTGAATGCAAATGTTCTTGTTCTTCCTCTCATCCCTCTTGTGTTGATTTTTTCTTGGATTTAGAGGAGAAATTTCATCTTGAAGGAAAATTAGGGCAAACCCTAATTTGTGAAACCTAAGGCGTATCAGAAAGTTTTCGAGATGTTAACATTGACTCCTTCGGGAATTTAACCAGCCAGTAATTGTTAGATTTAACAGTATATGGTGGAAAATCTAAAGCAACAAAAATTATCTGTTAAATTCCACTAAAACAGGCAGCATACTGTTACCGTTAAGAACCTGAAAGGCTGTAAGTGCAAGTGACAATGCATGCATCACAAATTATCTCAACAACAACAATAATAAAAACAACATCAAACATTTATCCCCCTATATGGGGTGGGCTATATGAATCGTTTTTCTCCATTGTGTCATGTTAAGAGTCATTAACTCTGATAAAGAAAGGTCATTTCTAATGTTTACTAACCAAGTCTTTTCAAGTCTACCTCTAACTCTCTTAACATAAGTCAAATCTAATACATTTACTCTCCTAACCGGGTCATTGGAAGGCCGCCATTTTATGTGACCAAATCATCAAAGGCAACTCTCTCTAATCTTATCTTCCATGGGAGATACTCCAATCTTCTCACATTTATACTCGTTTCGTATCATGTCTCTAAAGAGTAAAGTCACTCATCCACTTGAACATCCTCATCCCTGCAACACTTTACTTAATATTATGCTTCTCTTTTAATGGCCAGCATTCTGCAAAGCATTGTAGGTTTCACCGCCATCTTATTGAATTTTCCCTTTAGTTTGAGGGGAATTTTTCTATCACACAACAAGCCCGATGCATTTCTCCACTTCAACTATCCAACTGGAATTCTACTAATCATATCCCTATCTATTTCACCATCACTCTGAACAATAGACCTAAAATATCTAAAATGTGTACTCTTATTAATGCTTCGATCCTCCAAAGTCACAAGCCCCCCATGAGATCTATTACTACTAAAATTATCTCAAGTAAAAAAAAATTCTAAAATTAACAAGATCTCACCGTTATTCAGCACAATTGATTCTCAAAAACTGAACATAAAATTAGCAGCACTACAAACCATTCTGCCATTGCTATTATTAAATCAGCAAGTATACAATGTCAAATAGTTTTCCTTGTAAAAAAAAAGGTTTTCCTTGTCAAAGCAATTTACTCATTTCATTAGCATCCATGAGCTGCAGTGTTCGTATTGTTATCATTAAAAGGAAGGCATAAGTTATAGAATCTCCTAGAGAGAAAAAACACCAAGGAATATTAATATTAAATACATTCTTACCTCTGCAAATTGGATAAGATGAAGTCCCAAAACACGCTCATCAGCATGACCAAGCACAAGTTTCCCCGACTGCAACAGTGAAAATTAAACAAAGTTTTGGAGGTATTTATTATTACACTTGAAAACCTTCATTTATTTTCCAAAAAAGAAAAAAGATTAAACTAGTTTAAATAAAAGTTAAAATTCATACTTTCTTTATCTCTTCAATGTCTTTGCCAGATTTCCTGATGATGGAACATATACGGGCATGAGCATACAACAAATAAACGGCCGTGTTTCCCTGTTGATTTTAAAGCATAGTGCACTTGAAAATAAGAACAAAAAGGAATAAAAGACGAGCAGTCTTGCCAAACAAGTAAGAATATCAACAAAATAGTCAAGGAGAAACAAGTTCAAACTTCTGAGTTGGAGCATTAACAAGCAAATTAGCACACAATGAGTTATAAAAGCATAGAAAAAAATACAACAAGAAGTCTTTGCATATATCAAAATATCGAGATAGGCGCAAAGGAAAAAAAAACAAGTATCCATAATCCAGTTCTCTTGATAAAGAACACTAAATGGTAAAAATGATAATGCCACCACCATATGCATGTGCAAGCCCATAGTAGTGATCGTGTGAAGAGGAGGAAGGGAATGTACGAGAGCATACCTTATCATTTAGCATTTGGTCAAAACTGAAAGTGTAATTAGTCAACCGGTTATTTTTCAGATCTGCATATCTGTTGAGAGAGAAATTCACTCAGGGAGTCGAAAACATTAATCCACATATAATAAATAAGCTAGATAGCAAAGAGATAAAACAAGCTTATTCTGACTTCTTATAAAAACAGAGTAAAGAATCCATCATATAAGCAATCCATACTTGGAGAAGAAAATAAGATACCTAATCCAAATAAAAAATAATATAATCAAGTCCTGTCAGATTCAATTTGATATTTCTATGTTTCTAAGCATAATATCCTAGTGACATGCAATCCCATAATTAATTGGAATATCCAATTTTCGCCAAGTGAAAAAAAAAACTCTAAACCTGTTATTCCAAAGTGGCCTCGTACATAAAATTTAGAAGCAAGATGCGAAGATTCTCAGAAACCTAGATCCTTCTTCTAATTATTTCAAAAGCTGCTTCAAAAGCGGTTAGGAGCTTGCTTAATTGGTGTGCTTGCAAAATTAACTAGGTTTTATTCATGGAATTCACTGAAAACCACTAGCAACAACACAGATAAGGTTACTAAACTTAATTGATGTTCACTTCCAAAATATTCTTGTTCATAATATCCTTTATCATTATCATTAGCCCTTTTTAAACTATTGGGGCTTTAGTGTTAAGAGTCATCCTCCTCCATTCATTGAGTGCTTCATGAGTTGTTAACCGTAATTTATACAAGTTCTTGCACAACTTCCCCATATGTTATATTTGTTCAACTCCTGCCAGTTCCTTCACGACAACTATCAAGTATCAACTATCTACCAAATTGGTGAATCTTTGTCATCAGTAATAAATGTCTAAACATTTGGGACTATTTTCCACTTCTCTTCTATTAAATGGGAACTTCAATGAGTTCTACTCTAACCAACTCTCCTCACTCTACTTCCTAGCTTTACAATACATTGATCATAAAATCCTTATTTTTGCCACACTCAACTTAAATGTTACTATTTTCTTTGTTGCTTAACATTATGATTCATATAACACAATCAATAGTATTGTCCATATAACATAGTCAACTAATTGTAGTTGTACAAAATTTAGCATCTTGTTCATGATATTACTTCAAGTAACATACTATCTAATGTTAGGGTTTCACACTTCACCTAACAAAGATACAAATAACAACAATGGATCCATGACCGCTATAACATTACAACAACGACACCATCAATATCATTAAGCCTTTATCTCACTATGTAAGATCGACAACATGAATCATTTTTCTCCATTGTGTCCTGTTAAGAGACAAATCCTCATTCAAATCTAATAAACAAAGGTTATTTTTAATACTTTATAACCATGTCTTTTTAGGTCTACCTCTACCTTCTTAATATAGGTTAAATCTAATACATCTATTCTTCTAACCAGGTCATCAGAAGGTCAACATTTTATGTGACCAAACCATCTAAAATGACTCTTTTTAATCTTATCTTACACTGAGCAGCTATAACGTTGAAATAGAATAATCATAAAAACCATAGCAGTGAAGACCACAACACTGAAGCTAAAGTTCAACAAATAACAAACTTTCTAAAAATGCAACAGAATAAATGCATGAATAATAAGAGTATCAACCAGCAAATCAATAAGAATATATTCAATGAAACAACTCCAAATGAACTTAAGAACGTGGTATTGTTTCACAATGAATCCACATACCTAATAATCAAGTCAAAAAGACATTCACATAATAAAAACAATAAAATAAATGCACAGTGACTAACTTGATAGCACCATATCCAACAGCCTCAGCGGTATTCTCAAGCTCTTCATCCGTCCAATCTTTCAGCTTTCCTAATTAGCACAGAGCATAAATACAAACAAACTTGACAAATTAAGCTCAGAAAGAAACGCATATATGATATAATGTCAAATAGTTAAAACAGTTCATTTTTTACGTTACCTAGTTTAAATGCAGGGAAGAAACAACAAAAAAAAAAAATAATCGCTTTGCAATACCATTATCCTCAAGCCGTTTAACAAGTTCAGCTTTACAGCGACTTTTTGCTTCATCGAGTAGCTCTACTAGACGAACAACTTCTGAACTACGAGTGCGAAAGCGCTTGCCATCTGATCCTAAAACAAGACCAAAACCAACATGATTTGTTTTAGGATATAGAATGCTCTTGGCATCTGGAAGCCAGCCAGCTCTCCTTGCCGCCTGTATCATAAATAAAACTTCACTGAAGACCACATAACCAGTCTAATGAGATAAAAAGTGCAGAAGAGCATCCTCTAAACATAATATGTCAAATGAAATTAACAAGTGATACTGACTGGTCAATATCAAACAAACTGAATGTGTAGATACCGAAAATGGATGAAGAATGTACCAAGAGCAAAATAGCATGCTTCTCAACAAATGTTTCGTATGGCATATAATACTTACACTGAACACCATATCAAAGTGCTGTGACTGACCAACATCTGTAATATATATAATCCACTCTGCTTTCTCTACGTTAAGGCGGTACCTAAATCAGGAAAAGAAATTATTTAAGCAACATAAAATAGCATCAAAATGTTGAATCCTTTGCATAATTACATAAGAAAATTCGTGGTTGCCAGTGATATAAATAATGATCTTCCTATCATGGCTTAAGAAACACCTACAGCTTCACCGGCAGCATTTAGACAAAGCAGTTAAAAGCATCCAAGGAATAGAAGTATGCTGCCAAACATTGCCCGTAAACTTCTAATTGCAGCATATAAAATACATGAGATGAAAGCAATGAGATAACTGTTAAAAAAAGTATTCCTGAAATACTTGAATATAGAACAGTATTAATAAAATGGAAAACCAAGCAAGCCCTGCTTCACCCTGCTTCACCCTTACTTAGGTTTACTTCAATAAATTTTAATACTTCCTTACAGGCCTTGCAATTATGGAAAACAACATTCGAGGATATGGACCTTGACCATATTACAAGACCATAAGATGATTCAAATAGAAAATGGAAGAATCAGATTAAATGCATTCTAGAAGCACACACAGCCCATGAGTATTAAGCCAAACAATAGCAAGTACCAACCATAGAGCTGCTAGATCTGTTGATGCATAGTTGTACCCGCCGTCCCTCTTCACAACAATCAAAGGAATTGGTTGCCCCTGGATGAATATAACACGTGCACCATCGCTTTCCTCAATAAGCCCCTTGGTACTCAATTCCTCCAAGACTTTTGGAATGTAAGGGTTGTAAAAGCTCTCCCCCTAGGTAACACAATTTTCAAAAGATATTGATAAGAAACATGTGGAGTATTACTTATAATTCTAACGCAATTAAAAAAAACAAGGAGGCAAAAGAAAATTTATTTATAACTTCCCCAGTCGAGAATAACCCAGCTAGACTAACAGAAAGATGCTTCTTAAAAAATATTGAAGATAAAATAGACGGCTTTACTTTCCAGATAGTGATATAAGAAAGCTGGCTGAAGCTATATGAAGGGCGTAAAGCTGTTTCAGTTTTAAAGAGGCGTCAGTAATATCCGCAACATGTTTGAAATCAGCATTTCATGCAGTTTAAGGCATTAATTAGCTTTGACAATATGTTGATGTGATTTGAGCATTGTAAACAGAAAAGAAATTTTAATAAAGCTAGCAACTATTGAGTGCAATAAATATGTTTAAGTAGCAAGCTGGATAGGATACAACAATCATTTTCAGTTTCACATGATAATGCACAAAATCCTAAGAAATATGCTTTACAATCATGTGAATAGTAATGGTGCATTTTATATATTAAACAAATTATAAAAGAGAAGTAAAGTAGAAAAAATTAATTTCAATTTTTATTACGTCATCCTATACAAAGTAGGGACTTCTTCAAAAGGCTTATAATGGAAGTAATCAAAGCTACTTGTAAAAAAAAAAGTGAAAAAAAAATCTCCAATAGGGGATGGTGAATAGGATAGGAAGAAGCACATGAATTACAATCTAGGGGCAATAAAAGTATTGAATCAATGGTTAGAACCCTTAATTTATATGCTCATGAATCCCTATCAAGATTGATTGACTTGTGGTCTCAGTTTCCTTCAACACTCCCCAAAAATGGTATAAAAAAAAATCCAAATTTGCTTACAATATTTTTGAATATGAGGTTACAAAGTTATTTGATGGGAATATATGTAAGTTGATTTCTTATTAGCACATATGGAATGTAAATCAACCCACTTTCTAATTTCCCTTTTAAGAAATGTCAATCCACATCCATATGCTAAGTACAATTATGTTATACTAGATTATGAGCAATACTATAGCAAATTTATTGTCACAGTGTATCTTCATTAGCCCTTCCTATTTAATTTTAAATCTTCCAAAATGATTTTGGTTTAGAGAAGCTCATAAATTCCTTGGGCAATGGTTATAAATTCATATTCAACACTAGATATTGAAACAACAGGTTATATTTTGCTCGTTCATGTTATGAGATTTCCTCTAAAAAATATTTAGTATCAAATCATGAATATTCTATTCACTAGTGATCCTATGCAGTATGTATAAGTATACTCTTCAATATAAATATTCTACTTTACATACCAAATTTTTTTAACAAGATTTGATTTATGATGTCCAAGGATTCTATAAGCAGCTTTAATGTAAGACTTTGTATGTTTGTGTACGAATTGACTGACAAGATTCACTGCACATGTGATATTTAGACGAGTGTGATATGATCATTTTTTCAACTAATATTTGATATTGTCCCATGTCAATCTCTTTTCTTTTTTCATCTGCAAATAATTTTTAACTACAATTAGGGTTTCACAAGATTTATGTCTAGTCATATTTATTTCTTTCAATAGATACATGAAATAATTTTATTGAAAGAGAATATTCTTTGTTCTTGTTGTACAACTTCAATTTCCGAGAAGTATTTGAGCTTTTCCAACTCTTTAATCTCAAATTCTTTTAACAATTTTTTGCCTAAAAGACTTCTTTCCTCTATTATCATCACTCGTGACAATTATATCATTAATATATATGATGATAGTTAAGGTTTCATCATCAATGAAGTGCTTTAAGAAAAGGGTTTAATATTCTTAATTTTATTTGTATACAGCTTCATTCATAACTTTTATGAATCTGCCAAACCTCGCTCTTGTAGATTTTTTAAAGCCATATAAAACCTTCTTTAATTTGCACACTTTGTTCGTTATAAAAATCAAACAAATCTATCTAGTGGATCCATATAGACTTCTCCAACATCTCCACATAAAAAAGCATTCTTTACATCATACTGCTACAGAACCATTCACAATTCGCTACAAGAGATATCAAGATATGTATTATATTTATTTTCACAATAGGCGCAATAATTTCCTATTAGTCAATTTTATAGGATTGAGTATATCTATTGACTATCAATCTCATTTTATACTATTACAGGCTTACATCTGCTATATATTTTACTAAATAAATCAATTTGCATTAATTTTTTTGCCTTTTTAGTAGTTTAACAATCTCTCAAGTGTGATTTTTTTCAGGGCATTCATCTCTTCTCTCATGATGTCATTTCAATTCTTATTTTAAAGTGCATCAAATAAAATTTGTCTTATTGTAATAAATTTAGAGCTTATAGTTGTAAGGAAAGCTTTATGGGTAAGGGGTCGTTTGGTTGGAGGAAAAGTAAATGTAATACATAATAAATGCTTTGCATTTTGACTTTTTGGTATTTGGTTGGCCATCTTAGTAAAGTAATTTCGCGATTTATTCGGAACTCCCGCATTAGTTCATTCTTGGTGTAAAGCAAACTCGCTCAAAATCGAGCAAGAAAGGAATTCACAGACAGTAGCTTCTTTGGCTTCTTCGTTCCTACTCGACATCACTCCTTCGGAGGCGTCCAGGTTTTGATTTTCATCTTTTCTATTTCTCCGTTGCCATTCGACTTCATTGTTTGCATGCGAAGTTGATTCTTCTGCTACATAATTGTTGTTCAACTTCGCTCAAAATCGACAAAGTCGGCCGTCGCTGCGGACTGCATGGAGAATCTCCGCTCGAGAGCCGCACCTCCACCCTTCGCCTTCGAGAAGACCTCCGTGGATGGAGCTTGCTTGATCGAAACGGCGGCCTGGATGAGATGCTCCTTTACTCCGAGGTATGCCTTCCACTTCTTAGCAACACAATATATGCTACTCAATGCGGGAACTTGGAGCCGCAAGGTGTCTTCTGTGTTCGATCAATTGGAGTACTTCAAAATGGCAAATAAATTCAGTTTGGGAATAGGCACACTAGGTGCTCGATTGAATGTCTCATCCAAACGGGCCTCTGATTTTACTTTACTCCACATACACACAAGAAAATAGAAAAAAATAGTTTCGTTACATTTATTTTACAAACAACCTCAAGTATTTACTTTATACTACATTGACTTTACACTGCATTCACTTTACAACCAACCAAACAGCCCTTAAGAGAACCATTTTGACAAGATATGTGTTGGAAGATAAAATATAAATAAAAATGTGAAGTGATGGGTTGAACATTTTATCTAATAATAATTTTGAGTATTGAGCTTGATGCAGACTTTGATTGAGCTTTATTCCTTGTATAAAATTGAAGAGATACAATGATTGGATTTGTTGAAATTTATGTTGAGGGAACGTGGAAAAGAAAAGACAGATGTTTCATTAAACTTATCTTCTAGTTAATAGTTCATCTGAATATGAATTTGATTGAACAAATTTTGTTTCTCTTTAAATGTGACATCTTTTGAACTAAAAAATTTCTGGGAGAGAGGATGATAACACTTATAACCTTTTTAAATAAAGAAATATCCAATAAAGACATATTTGAGAGCTCTAGAATCAAGTTTATACATGTTGTTTGTGGATGTCGACATAAGCAACACATCCAAAGATTTTTGAAGAAATTTTGGATAGAAAGTTATTTGTGGGAAAAAAAATTCAACTATATAATTTATAGAACTTTGAGATCAATCACCCTTAAGAGTATTCTATTGATTAGATATATGACAGTTAGGATTGCTTCTCTTTAAATATCTTTTTGGCACTTAATTATGAAAGAGAAGAAGCTTAACGACTTCAAGATATAGACTATTTTCCTTTTTACCACTCCAGAGCCTACCTCGCCTCCAACATGCTCCGCAAAGTAAAATAAGCAACAACAACAACAACAACATCAAAGCCTTTATCCCACTACGTGGGGTCGGCTACATGAATCCTTTTTCTCCATTGTGTCCTATTAAAAGTCAAATTCTCGTTTAAATCTAATAAAGAAATGTCATTCATAATATTTTCTAACCAAGTCTTTTTAGGTCTACCCCTACCTTTCTTAACATAAGTCAAATCTAATACCTCTACTCTCCTAACCGGGTCATCG